GTTGGGCCAAAGTTGTTGCTTAAAACGTAGAACAACCTGAACACTTGTCCCTGCTCCGGTAAAACTCGCAGAACCACTCACTCACAAGATGTGCCCCCTTCTCGCGTCAGCTTCCGGGCCCAGAGCCACTCCACAGAAAGAAGCGGCCCCAAACGCATCGAGCCACCATAATTTTGTACACGAACGCATCCACAAAACGAGAGTCCCCTGGAGGAAGCTTCGCCCCAGTGGCCCTCGACTCGCCTCGACGGCAGAGTGCCCTTCGAGAGGTACACGAGGGCGCGGAGAACTTCCTGGGTGCCGAGAAGACGTGCCACACGCGGGGGGCTCAGAGGAGCTGGGGTCCCTCCCGGCTGGAGGCTGGAGGCCAGAGGCATGCTAGAAGCATGACTTGATTTGGGTTCAAAAGTACTAGAACCCCAGTTGAATGATTTAGGACCTGATACTTTCGCCCCTTTTTTTGTGAGGGGGGGGGGGAATGAGGCTGGGCCTTGCTCTCTATGAGTGGGCAACTCCCTTTCCGGAGAGGCGTTTTTTTTTGCTCGAGAGGGGTCAAAGGATGAGGTCCCTGTTCTGAGGCAAACCCAGTTCTGAGGCAAACCCAGTTCTTGGTGATTTCCATTGAAGGAAAAGCCAACTACTTTCCATTCGGCTGAGATGGCATGTTCTTGTGAACGAGAATGTTCCCTGGCTGCCTCCTAGTGCTTGACTTTTATCTCCCCTACCTCAGCTTTGCTTTCCTTCGCCTTTCTTTTTTCCCGCACGTTTGTGTCCCCTTTGCTTTACCTCCGGCTTTTCCTTTCTTGCAACATGGCTCCGACTCGCGGGTCCCAAATGCTGAGCGAGGCACCCCGCGTATGGAATGGTCCAAGTTCGCTAATTACCTTGTTCGACAGAGGATTCCCGTTCCTGGCAACCAAGCATTTGCGTCCAAATGTGTTCCCATGGGACGCTTGAAGAAAATACAAAGAAGGTAACCGGATCCGTAAGTTGAGAGACTCACTTCCTGAGTTCCTAGAATTTAGTCCCTTTTGGGAAGACCATGTTAGTGGTAGATAAAACGTTTGGACTTTCATTGTCCAATCCAGGAAGTGCGGAGACAAAGCTATACGTTGCTCAGGACATACATCAAGTATGACTACGAGCTTCCTCCCTTCTCTTTGCGGAAGGTTGTTCGGGTGGTTGAGTACCAGGGCTTGCAGACGTGGGCCCGGCATGCTTGCCGGCAATTACTTGCCGGCAGAGATGACACGATATTTTATCAGCATGTGGGGTGTTTCCGAAAAACCTACGCTATTTGCAGGGATTTGACATTTGGGTATGGGCCAACATTAAACCGCCAGGATATGGACCGCAGGTTTAGTCCTTGGTTTCATTTACCGGGGAAGCCCATTTTGGTACCCATTGTTGAGCCACAGCCATTTCACCAAATGCAGCCTGGCCCTTGTAGGCAACACCCGTGCTCTCCAAACAGCCTGGGGTCAGGGGCTTGGATACTGGTTCGGATGTTTGGCCCCATGTTTTTGTTGCCCAGCCCATCATTGATCATTGGCCTCTTTAAATGCCATGGGTGCCAGCTACATCCAGGTGTTTTACCTTAGAGGGAGCAATGGCCAGGTGCTTCGCACTCTTCGAGCTGAACAACTGAGAGGTGCAAGCGGTCGAGCCCCGAGGTGGGAGAGGAATTGTTTTTCGGCTCGAGTTGGGGGGTTCAACGAGTCGAAGCCTTCAGGGGATGGACATCATCACCATCATCATCATCATCATCACCATCATCATCACCATTATCATCATCATCATCATCATCATCAACATCAACATCACCATCGTCAAAATTATCATCAACATCGTCAACATGAACATCATCACCATCATCATCATCATTAACAACATCATCACCATTATCAACATCAACGTCGACATCACCATCATCATCGACATCATCAAAGTCATCGCCATCGACATCCTCATCGGCAACATCAATATCATCATCATTAACTTCATCACCATCATCATCAACATCATCACCGTCATCATCATCATCATCAACATCATCATCATCATCATCAACATGGTCAACATAATCATCATCATCGTCATCATCATGACCATCATCATCAACATCGTCATCATCGCTACCAACAACACCGCCATCACCACCAGCGCGCAGTCGCACGGTCACGCAGCAAGAGGCGAACGTAACTGCCCCACCCCACCCCCCCCCCCCCCAGCCCCAATACGCAGTTGCGCCGCCACGCAGTAAGCGGCGATCGCAATTCCAGGAGGCTCCGATTCGCAAGTTACTTAGGCCGTATGAGCTAAGGAGGTTTTTTGTGTCGCGAGGACAAGATAACTCAGAGCTTGGAAATTTCACGAGTTTTCACGGCTTTTTCACGGAGTAGTAGCGGCCTTTCAGTTTCCCGCGCGAGTTATTACGGCCGTTAGACCGAGCTTTCACCGCTTTACAGGGGCCAACGAGCGCAAGTCGCCGAGGACATCT